ACCACCATCACCACCATCACCATCATCACCACCACCATCACCACCATCACCACCACCACCGCCGCCACCACCACCATCACCACCATCACCACCACCACCGCCGCCACCACCACCACCACCACTACCACCACCACCATCACCACCACCACCACCATCACCTTCATTGTCCATATTCCTATCTTCAAGAAACAGAGGTTGCTGGGTCCCTTCGCTGTTCTCTCCTCTCTCTCTTTTTTTTTTTCGGAACCGGGGATTGAACTCAGGCCCTTGTTCTTGCCAGCAAGTGCTTGTTCTACTGAGCCATCTCCCTGGCACTTGTTCTCTCCTCTCTTGCACAGGTCTCACAGAGGGGAAAGCCCTGGACGTGGGAGTGTGGACCTTGTGAGACCACTGCTATGAAAGGGAGAGAGATTTGATAACAGCCCCTACAATATGTCACGGGGCCGGGGAGATGGCTCAGTAGAATAAGCGCTTGCCTGGCGAGCACAAGGGCCTGAGTTCAATCCCCAGTTCCTAAAAAAAAAAAAAAATGATACAATATGTCGGGCATCATTCAAGACCCTGGGACAGAAAACATAGCAGAATCATGTTCCCACCATGGACACGCCTTTAATAACTGCACACGTCAGTACATCCCCTCCCTATCAGAGGGAAACAGCCAGGAGCACGAGAAGTGTCTAGGCAGGATGGGCAGTTTCCGGGGGACAGCACTGCTTTCTGTAGGACAGGCGGGGTCGTGTTGGAACTGAGGTGGTCAAGGAAACTGCCAATGGGTATCCCGGGAAGGCGACAAAGGCCCTGAGGTAGGGACCTAGCTGACATGGTGAGGAGCAGCAAGGGGTCAGTGAAGCAGTAGGGCAGCCAGGCTGGGTGGGGACCCTGTGTGAAAGTGACATAGGGACATCAGTGTGCTGATGGCTTTACACTGTCTTGGAAACCACCGAAGCGACTTGGAGAGAGGTGTGGCACCAGTTTTATTTATTTATTTATTTTTGAGTCAGGGTCTCCCTGTTAACCTGGGCTGGCTTTGAACTCACAGCAATCCTCCTGCGTGGGCCTCCAGGGTGCTGGGATGACAGGTGAGCACCACACCCGGCCCTGACTTACACTGGAAGGGGGTACATCCTGGCTCTTGTGCTCAGACAGTAGGGTGGCAGTAGTCTGTAATCAGCAGGCTCATCTGGAGCTCACTTTGTGGACTGAGGGTAAGCACAACTGTGTCACCCTATGGGATGGAGGGAGACTGCCAGGTCTGACCCTAATGCCAAGGCAAAGCCAGGGGGATTTGCTAGCACACTGCAGGGGAGGGGAGGCAGGAGGCAGGGGCAGTCCCAGCTCTCCAGGACCAGAGATGAGAGACAGGGCCACACAGAAACTCCTGCTCGGCCCTCACGCCCAGCCTGACCTGCTACTTTGCATCCTTGCTGCCAGCCAGAGAGCCGACTCTGGCTCCTCCTGTCCCTCTCCATGCTGATCGCCCAGCTTATTTTCAGGAGAAGGAACAGGAAAATGGAGGAGGAGGTGAGGTTGGGAGGAGGAGGAGAAGGGAAGTTCTCCTAAGCACACAGTGTTGGCTCAGAGATGGGGTCCCAGCGGATCGTGAGACCCAAAAAGAGCCGAGGTCTAGCTCCTTCTGGAAGACGCGTTTCCGTGATGCTGGTTGCCTCCCCTGGGGGTAACCAGATGCTGTGCCGGTGGCGGAGCTGGCTTTGGCGGGGACACGCTGTTTCTGGCCACACACAGCAGGGGCCGTGGTCTACAAGCCACACACAGCGTCGAGCTCCAGGAAACAAGGAAGGAAGCTGCTGCAGCCTGGACGCCAGTCTGTGAAGCTGCACTTTGGCCTGCAAACAGTGACTGTGAATTGTGTCTGTGTCCCTTCTTCATGGAGCCCTCCAGGAGCCAGTGTCATTCACATGGGGCTCTCATCTTGTCCACAACCACCGTGGGAGGCAGTTCCAGTTACTCCTCTGTCCTGAAGGTGACGCTCCAGGTGGTCGCCGAATTGCAACAAGTCAGCTTGTGCCTTTTTGGAGGGTGGATGTGATGTTGAGACAGGGTCTTATGTTGCCCAGTCTGGCCTTGAGGCCAGTAGTCCTTCTGCCTCAGCCTCCTCAGAGTTGGGACCGTAAACCGGTGCCCAGTAAGCCTGTGCTGTAATCCTTCTAGTCTCTGCCTCCCAGAGAAGGACACTGAGTGGGAAACACTGAAAATGATGCCTGGTATGGTGCTGCACAACTGTAACCTCAGCACTCAGGAGGCTGAGGCAGGAGGATTGCTGAGCATTTTGAGTCCAGCCTGAGCTACACAGTGAGTTCAAGGGCAGCCTGACCTAAAAAAAAAAATTAAAAAAAAAAAAAAAAAAAGGAAAAGGAAAAGGGGTTTCTCCAGGTCACAGAGCTCGGGAGTGAGGTTTCCCCCTCCAGGGCGCTCACAGCCCCGCCGCTGCTGCTGTGCCCTGCTCCTGCTGCCCAGACCTCAGGTTCATGCACTCAGGTTCGTTGGCTTGCTGCTGACCAAATCAAAGGAGGGCATTTATTTGCATCAAAAGGCAAAAAAAGCTTTATTTGAAGTTAGCTCTGAGGACACAGAGGAGCTCCCCAGCTGGCCCTACCCGAATCACCACCTCACTGTGAGGTGTGTTGGGATTTTTTCCAAGACAGAACAGTGTGCAGCAGACACAGTGGGGCAGTGGACATTTTCAAGCTAGTTCTGGGTCTTCCTGAATCAGGACCTCTCCCTCCTTTGCCTGAAAGCACACACTTGGTCCTGAACTCTGCTGCCATGTCCTCTGGATGGGGGAGATGAGCCAGCGATGCCCATGGCCTGAGGAAGTTTGCAGCCTGGATTCCCAAGGAAAAGGTTTAACTTTTAAAGTTCATTTTGTAGTGCCGCTGACAGCTGCTTCCCAGGCTCCAGGAGGGACAGGTAGATTATAAACGGGGTACCCAGAGGCCCTGGCTCCCGGGCCAACTTGTAGGAAGTGACCGGCAGGTTCAGAAGGATGTGATGGCACTGGTACTCTGCTTTAAGAAAGGGATTTTATATTCTTAAACCGGCACAAGATTGGGTGGGCCTTCGCACCTCCATCCCTAAGTGAGCAGGTCACAGGCTCAGGAGCCAAGCTAGGCTCAGGCCCTGGCTCTCTGTGACCGGAGCCCATTTGTTGCGGGGGTGGGGCTAGGCTCAGTTTCCTCGCTATACAATGGGCAAGAGAAGTCGGCCTGAGGTTTGGGAACATATGCGGTCGCTCAGCTCAGTGCCTGGCACCCTGTAATTCCTCCCGTGGAAGTAGGGCTCACACGCCATCTGCCCCCTTGGCTTCCTGCGGACAGACCGACAGACCGTGTGACCCTCCAGGGTCAGAGTCCAGGGGGCTTCTTGGGAAGCCTGAAGCCCACGATCTCCTGCCAGACTGCTAAGGAAGGCTGCCACTCGGGGCAGGGGGCAGGAACGCCGGGCTGTGGAGGGAAAGAGGGGGGTCCGTTGCGGCGGTCAACGCTGGTAAGCCCCGCCCACTTCCTCCGTGAAGGCCGAGCGGGGGTGGGAGGAGTCGTTCCGGGCGGAGTACTCGAGGCCCCGCCCCTCACCCTGTCCACTCGCTGCATCCCAGCGAGCC